AGAGAGAGAGAGAGAGAGAGAGAGAGAGAGAGAGAGAGAGAGAAGAGGAGAAGGAGAAAGAATAAAAGATAAGGAGGCTATGAGGTAATCAGAGAGAAAAATATGTCATCAAATGATGGCGAGTTAAGAAAGCCTAACACTGGTAGGCAGCCATGCAGGAGGACACACACAGAACACAAATACTGGCTAATCTGGTAAAACAAAGGCCTGCAGTGCTTTTAAGTGTCTACTTTCCATTGAACCACAACTTTAAGAACTACTGTGCATGATAAACTAGATGTTTACTAAAAGTGCAAGTCAGGAGGGGGAAATGAATTTAGCAAAAAGTGTTTAGGATGCTTGGGAGTGAAACTTTTGCAGCTGGCATCCTAGGACCCAGGGCTGAGTGATAGCACTCAAGAGATAAAAATGGGCCACACAAATTACAAAGTAAAATAGGAATACGGCTACATGATAATTCAAGTTATATACCAAATGTGACTTTGTAAGAAGTTTGTTATTCATCCTAAGGGATATGCCAAGAAACTATCATTTTTCTATCACTTACATAATGCTATTTAAAACTATCAAAATACATTCACATAAGTAGAATACTTTCCTTTTACTGAAGGTTTGTAGTATATCAAATTCTACATATTTTTCCTTCCTTGGAAATCATATATTTGACAAAGCTGGGTTACTCTAAATTGTGAAATGTAGAGTGCCAAGGACCACTGAACAAATAAATGAGAATAAAACAGACTAGATTCTGCATTAAACTGACCTCTAAAGTTCCTTTTGTATTGCCTTTGTTCAGATAGCTAAACACCAGTTTTTAATCACAGGTAATTTGGTTCGCTTTCATCTTGTTGAATAGGGACATAACTAGCAGTGAGCGAGCTCTGGTCATAAAATTCCAACACGCGACACAGGTCTTTATTACTTGAGGCAAATGCTATCAAAGTGCTTTTCTTTCCTGTTTTTTTGCTTCAAGAAATACTACTTTTTAAAGCTGACTTACATATTTCTTAAGTCTAGATTCTACTTATCTTTTTACAGGTAAAAGGTAAATTAATTAATGTCAGAAACATGGTTACTAAAAGATGTGTTTACATACTTTCTATAATTTACGTACAATTATTGTTTGGTTTGTGATGAATAATTCATTAAAGAAAACTCAATGAAAACTCTACACAAAGTAACAGATTTAGAATTGAGAGAATAGCAATAGACATAAATGGCAATCAAAGAGAGTTCCGACTTTAGCCATCAATCCATCTTCTCTTGGTCTCAGACCAAACCACTGTAATCTGGAGGTGAGGTCCAGACATTTCACAAAGACCAGTACCAAGTGGGCAGAAGCTAAAACTGTGCAAAGTGAGATCTAACACAGGAACAGCTCTGCTTTGGGTTTTCAGGACACAAGCTGGGAACTGTTCTGGAATTACATTATACACACTGCACTCAACAGTCACCTGAAGACTTTGTTTCCCAAAGATACATCTATACGTTGCTTCATTCTTCAGGCATTCATCCTATATCACATGCACTTTTCATATTATGAACCCAACATTGAACTATGAAGGCTTATGCAAACTACTGGGCATTTAAAAGAATTTACAATCACAGTATGGCTCAACTGCATCTCTATTAACCTTCCAATATTGTAAATGGTTTAGGACTCTGAAAAATATTTTCTTGTAATATGGTATAGGAACTCAAGCTCAGCACGAACTTCCCTGCTTTTGTCTTATTCAACCTCCCAATCTCTTCTTGGCAAAATCTCTTTTGGTTACAATGAGGAAAGATCCAGTCATTCTGGGCAAAAATGTAAATGTTTTATTTCACGGTCATAAATGCATTAGCATTCCTTACTATCCAAAGAGTAAAACAGAAAAAGGCACCATCTGGAATTTTAAGTTTGCTAAAGGCGAACATTAATGGGGATCGAAGGAGGGGTAGGGTGGGGGTTCTCTTTAAGATTCATCTCAGATTTGGATGGATTTTTTCATGGATAAGATACTCAGATGATCTAAGTAACTGTGGGTTTTTAAATACCCATAACTCCAGTGCTTACTCTGCTTAATATTTGGGAAGAGGTGTGTGTGAGAGAGAAGAGAAGAGACGGAGGGGGACAGACTTATTTTGGTAATATAAAATTTCCTGACAAGCTCCAAACTGCTATGACATTTCCATACTGCCAATATCAGGATCTCCACAGCATGTACAATTTGGCTGCATGTCTTCAGTTCTTTGTATACCATGCCCTAATACCTCATGATCTGCTACATATTTGCCAGAGTTTCATACTGGTCAAAAATTGTCTTCTCAAATTTGTATAATTTGTTTAAAACACTCAGTGCATTGTTCTGTCCTTTAAGAACAGGTGCAAATTATGGAAACTTACCAGCCATTCCAAAGTTAAGCTGAGGAATTTCTTCTGTCTTTGCCTTCTTGGGGGTTGGCAAGTCTCTTGAAGAGTCAGATGGGAAGGCCCAAAGTTTCTTCCGTGGATTGACAGTGGGTGTTGGCGATTTTACAGGCTTGTTTGTAGTAGGGCACCATCTGTAGCCAGGATTTGCTTTCATAAATGCATCTTTATACTATAAACAAATGAGGGCTTAATCAACATCCAGACACAGAAGTCCAACAGCATTTACCCTTTCCCTCCCTCATTCAGATTATGACTGAGAAAACCACATTCCATGATTTCAGTAGCTCTCATTAGGGAAGATGACAGTGTCACGCACCGAGATCTAGAGACAGGGTGGAGTTATCTAACTTGTGGGCCTCGAATACAGAGACCAGACACTCAGAATGTTCTAATCTTTTCTTGTTCTTGTTCTTAAAAAATTGCCTGACTTTGGTGGCAGAGGAGGCTTTTGTATTAGAAAGAGCCTAGGGTGGAAAAGGCGGGGATAAAACAAGCTGCAGGCATTTAGCATAGAGCAGTGTCCTCTGTGGGCCTTAAAGGACTGCACAGTACCATCTGTGCTTTGGGTTACCGTCAAAAGTGCACAGCACCAATTTCTTCTCTTAAAGTTTTAAAAATTGTGTGTACATGTGTGAATTTTTTTTCAAATAGCTGTTTTGCCTACATGTATGTTGTGGTATCACTTGCATGCCTGGTGCCTATGGAGGCTAGAAGAGAGAAGTGGATGCCCTGGAACTGGAGATAGATGTGATTATGAGCTTCCATATGGATGCTTGGAATCAAACCTCAGTCCCCATCTCTATAGCCCCCAGCACCCATTTCAAAGGACACTTTAGTATACATTTCAGAGCATGAGTTAACACCTCGCCCAGTAGCTAGATTGTGCCCTTACTGGTTAACTTACCTTGTTAAGAATGGTTTTACAAAAATTAAATCTCTGCCTCAGTGTTCTTTAAGGCTAACACAAAGTAAAATTCTCAATTATGAGAAAAGGAACCAAGATTAAGTAGAAAGGGAGCAAGGCAGGCTAGCTGGCCAGCTTTCTGGTTACTTTCAGACACAGGGCAAGCAGAAGAGCAGTGGAAGCATGATGCACCTGGGCTCAAGAGGTATTTCTACTTAGCTACCATTGGGCATCCCCTCCAGGTCCTCCATCTATAAAGTGTAACAGAACTGTCAATATTTTTCAGTGGGCACACAGGATGGCAGATATGAACAAGCTCTGCTGTGACATGCTGTAATCAGTCCATCACAAGCTTTATATTTACTTTCACCTCTTTTTCTGTTGCTTCCTCCTTTTATCCCTTCTTTTAAATCCTCTACCTCTTGCCTAACATCCATTGTATCTTCCCAGAGCTATACTGTTTAATAAAAAAAATTCCTATGTATTCTTTAAATATCACTATCACATTATTATATTAGCACATTCTTTTGAAACAGTTTGGTTATATAATCTGGTTCTGAATTCACAATTCTCTGCTTCAGTCTCCCAATAAGGTTATGGGCATACACCCCCATTACCATCTAACACAATTCTTTCATCCTCGCAGGCTTGCCTTTTACAATAGTAATGTGTTCTAAGCTCCAAGTTGCTTTTAGAAAAGGGGTAAAAGGTACTATTTTGAGGAAAGGTATAAGGAAAGAATACCTAACCTAAACAATGCTCCGACTATTTCACTATAAGTTATATAAATAAAAACTATAATGTAGGTAATAATGTAGTATTAATTAAAAATGAATGATATTTATCCCAATAAAACTTTAACTCATTTTCTGAAATTATTTTATGTATAACATATAAATTTACCTATTGACATATAGGTGTGTGTGTGTAAAAAAAAAGCACATAGGTCCCTAAAATCTAGTAATACTTTTCTCTTTTAATTAAAAAAGATTTCTTTTATTTGAATTATGTGTATGTGCCTGTGTGTATTTGCACACTGACCCTGGAGGCCAGTGGCATCAGTAACCTGTAGTTACAGATGGTTGTAAGCAGCCCAGTGTGCGTGTTGGGATCTGAACTCTGGTCCTCCACTAGAACACAAGGACTCTTATTACCACTTAGCCACCATTCTAGTGTTTAGTTCTATTTTTCTTAAAAATAAAGAAGTAAAATGAGACACTAGACCAGCACCAAACGAATTTACAACTGTATAGCAGAATGAATTTGGAAACATCAAAGTTGACATAAGAAGACACACTACCACAGTGAATTCTTGTAAATGGGGAATTTACATATTAAGTTGAGGCAGACAAATAACCTTGCCTGCTGTCTGATGGTAGAAAGTGATAATGGCAGGCAGGGGTGAAAAGGCAAGGAGCAGACACATGCATCATTATCATGCCTCAATAAAAGGCACATGGGGAAGGTGTGCCAGTAACTGAACTTTCAAAGAAACTTACTAATAAAATTTATCATGAGAAATAAAATCATCTTTTTTTTGGTAGGTAAAATTTTCTAAGCAGAAAGCACCAGCTGTGAAAGAGGTTGGATGGCGTTAGTACCGGAATCTCTTGCTCCTTGAGAGTGCCCTTCTCTTCATATTCAGTTTTTTGACACATTCTTCACTAATAACATTGCTACGGATCACTTAATGATCTGTTTCAGTGAAAATCAAGTATAATGGAAATTATACTGTCATCCTGATAAATTATCAGTTGATACTAATGAAGGCCGCCTTACACTAATTTATGATAGTGCTGTACACAGCATAAGGCACCAACAGTCAGCACTTAAAATCACTCTCATCCTCTTGTCTCTATCCTATGCACCTTCACTGCAAAGACTCAGTGAGCACTGACTGGAAGACACTCTTCTTAGACACTGGAAACAGAAAGAGGGGGAATCAGGCAGAGTCCCTCCATTCATGATGCTTCTAATCCATAATTTACCACACAAGCATTTCTGTTTACACATGGTCTACAATCCTTGCCCTAACTCAAGCATGAAAAATGGTTCTGCAACGGGTTTACAGAACAGCAAGTTTCCTATGAGTAGACAAGAAGAGTGCAAGAGAAAGGTCTGGAATATGGGGGATGTTTTAGACAATTTACTATGAAGGATAATACTTTAACTAAACTACAATATGAATTGTGCAGACTCTTAAACTCAATGTAAATGTTCAATACACATGCATGACACTTTTATTTTTTAGCTTTTGTTTGTTGTTGTAGATTGAACCCAGAGCCTCAGACATGCTTAGTAGGCATCTTATCACTGAGATACAACACTAGACCCCTAGTCAAGTACACACTGATCAGAAGGGCTAAAATTGTGAATGACTGAAGAAAAAAAACCACATAAATTTATTTACAGAAAACACCAAACCAATACAAATTATGGGCTGCAAGCAAGTAAGTTCAGAGGCAAAAGCAGCCTCGGAGAGTAAGGATGCCTACATGTCCTTGGAACTTGGTCCTTCATCAATCATTTGATCTGATTCAGCTTTTAAGAGACACAGGAAAGGCTTGTCATTTGTTATGACAAAGTTACTATAAAAGAGATTACAAAGGAGGCAGAGAAAAGAAGTAATGCTGGGAGACCTAGTATACAGTCCGGAGCAAATAGCCAAGTGTAATAATTGCCATGTAGGTCAACCAGGTGGACACAATCCATCATCACAGGAGTGAAAGGCCTCAAGAGATAGGCCCCATCTATCTAGACATCCAGGGCCAGGCTGAAGGGGAGAGGGAAGCTCATTTATCTTCCAAGAACATCAATCACAGATTATTGATCCTAAGATTTTGATGAAAAATTCTCACACATATATAGACTTTTGCTAAAATACTGATTTTCAAAATTCTATGAAAATCAAAATTCACCTTATGGCCTTCAACTTCTCCTGCAAATTTCCAGATGATTCTAACGTAAATTTGCTTTACAGAAAGTTCTGCACTGATAGAAGGCATTCAGTAATGCTGACTCTCTTCTCCTGGCCCTAACCACTATTGTATTTTGTTAGCAATAACAAAAAAAGAAATTGCTGCTTCTTTTGTTATTCAGTACTGTCACTAAATGCATACCCTCTGTCACAGTGTTTTACCTCCTTTATATCTGACAGTGGTATTATTATATAACAAAAGACAATAAATCTATTATGTTAATGCTTTAAAATGGGGTCTCAAACAATAAATGCTTTCAGGATCATTACATAAATGGAAATTTGATCTACAATGTACTTTAATATTAATGAAACATTTTCTCCATTTATTTAATTTTAGTTGCATTTGGGGTACTATCTCAGTGTCCACTAGTGTTTCTAGTTATTTACAGTCTAGATCTGCAGAATGAAAAGAGATGGTGACCCTGGTGAGATTCTAGAATAAGACATTCTGTGAATGCTTGAACAACCAAAGACAGATGCTGCTGCTACAAATATATGAAGTAAAATCTACCAAATCAGTCGATGGATTATACAGAAAATTATCTGAAATTTTACAAAAGTGTCCTAACACACATTTTTTTCTTATAACATATCCACCATGGGTAGCTGACGGAACTCCCTCCATACTTAGTTGTTAGAGCTAGGTCTTTCTTCAGCAGCAGGCAAAAATTACAACACACAACCAGGTCGGAGTTCAGCAGAGAGTGGCACTAACTTCTTCATTACCTGGTGTGGGTGTGTGTTTGTGTGTGGGGGGGGTGGTCTAATCTGTACAGAGCACGGAGGAGAAGTGTTAACCAGTATAGGGGGGTCTAATCTGTATAGAGCACGGGGAGAAATGGTCCACACCCGCCCCGTTGGGGGGGGGGGGGGAGGTTCTAACCCGTACAGAGCACAGGGGAGAAGTGCTGCTAATCTAAACAGAGTGTGGGGGAGGTATGAATCTGTACTTCCTTCACAGAAACCTAGACCTGTCATGAATAGAAAAAGAAAAATTACATTGCTATTTCATCTTTTGAAGATATGCTTCTTTTAAAATCAGAAAGAGAAAAGTACAAACTATATAATAATGTTCTAGTCAACTACATGGCACAACAGTGGCCTCCTAAGATTGCACTGCCTTGTGCAGTAAAAGGTTTTAGTTGGGTAAATAAACCATGATGCTTGCACAATAACCAAAACGCCTCAGGACACACTCTGAGGCTATTCCTGTGGGCAAACTATTCTCACTCTTATAAAGGCAGGGGTTCAGATGGCAAATAAATGTAAAACATTCATATTCACACATCGACTGTGCTAAAGGAATGTCGTATGTTCAGTAAAATATTCAAAATTGAGGGTTCAAAGTTGAAAAGTTACACCTGAAGTCGTTTTCAAAATGACTCAGGCTTGAGGACCAGAGGCTTCTTTGTGTCTAGTTTTGTATCACTAGCAACTACCATAAAATCTGAGTACTGAAACTTCTTAATAAGCATTGGCTGACTGAACTGACATTCCAATTAAGGCTGCAATATTAACAAAAAAGACTTCAGCACGATTACATGCACTTTAATGTAACTGTGAAACACTAAGTAAATAAGCTGAAAGAAATAACCACTAGAGACCAATTGTGTGATAATTTGGGAAGTAGCTGAATCGATTAGACTTTGGAGTAAAAATGAGACAATATTTTATGAGTAACTATAAACAAGGCAAGATGCAACATGGGACATTCTGGTTTCCACTTGTAGGCTGCAGGGGGCTACCTAAACAGATTTCATTATAGTACCACAATGGCAAATATTGTGAAGCTAATTAAGTAATTAATAAAGGATTTCCTGTGCAAAAATAATAGGTCCTTCTCTTAAAAGTGGCCACCTATTGGGTTTGTAAATTAGCTGTATTTAAGAAAAGGCAAATACTATATTGGTAATATGCTGCATGTTGTCCAAAATCAAGCTCAAGTGTTTAATTATAGGAAGCATATGCAGTTCACTGTGAGGCTCCAGATAATTGTTTACTTTATCATATAAGCATGAGTATGAAAGGATATAAACCTATTTAATGAGAAGGGTTTATTGTTAATTACTGTTAGGCTTGTGGAAATCTATTGGAACATTTAAAATCACGTAAGTTTCTGTAATTGATTTTAAATTTTATAGATGCCCAGCATAGTTAAAAGTTTATCTTGAACAATTAGTAAATTCCTAAAGCCTTCTGTGACCATTAATTACACAGCAACACTAGTCATTTACTCTGGATTCAAATTTCCCTGTATGTTTTAAAAGAAATTTTTATGTTGCAGGATTCCTTATTAAACAACTCAATAAAACCACGTCAAGTGAAGACATTATTTTTCCACATACTAAGATGTCTAATAAAGTATCTTGAAATTACATTATTTTATCCCCTGCTGGTTCATTTTTTTCTCCTTAGAAGTTAATTGGGTGGCAGGGATTTTCATGAATGAAAATTTTTTTGCAAGTTGAAATTCTAAGGAAATAATGTTAGAACTATTCCTTTCAGACTTAACCACAATACAGTACCTATTCCTCATTTAGGACTAAGTCCACTCATAATACATCTGGACAATGGTCAAATACTGATCCCATATTAATGTAGAAACAAATATAGTACAGAACTTTTCGAAAACATTTAGTTACTGCTATCATTTTGGAATGAATGTGCTACCTTTCTTAATAGTCTTCCCATGTGGAAATGTTTCTCACCAATTATTATTGTTCAGCTTTTGCGAGCATGCATACGTCACAGTACACCCTGTTCTACTGTCATTCATCCATGTATTAGTTTTAAATCTTCATGCTGCACTAATTTTCAGAACAGAAACAAGTCAAAGCATCTCTCTTAACACTGTGTTTACAAAAAAGTGTTTACGAAAAATTGTTTTTATTCAAAACACAACAGTGTTTAGAAGGCATACAAATCTTTGTCCAACTTTCTCATTGTGGTAATTATTTCAAAAATCTGAGACCACACACACACACACACACACACACACACAGACACTAGTTATTTAACATCAGAACGTGATCATAATAGATTCCTGTGATATGATAAGGAAAACCTAGCCTGAGGTTGTCATCTTTACAATGCCATTTGATGACAACAGAAGATGGCAGTGTCAGCAATGGCTGCTGCGTATTTGCTGTGGAAGAGCTACAGAACTCGGTGTCCATAATCACTCTCACACCTTGTCCTTGCAACCTACCTCCTTGGCCATGTCTGTATATTTCTGCTTTTCCTTTGGATCAAGAACAGCCCACCAATCAGCTAGTATCTTGGTAGCACCTCGGTTATCAAGCCTTGGGTGTTCCTGTCGGACAAGAGAGCGATGACGCTTGCAAAATAAAAGAAATGCGTTCATTGGTCTCCGGGCTCGCTGTTCTGGTGACTCATCGTCTTCAGTTTCACCAACATCTTGCTCTAGGCCATCCGCCTCAAGAAGATGAACCTATCACCAACCAAGGCAAAAGTCATACGGCTTTTAAACATCTAACAAACTGAAAAAGTAATTTTTTTAAAAAAAATCATTGACTACTCTTGGTGGATGATAACTAACTTACATGTGTCCTGTTTAGTTTTTATGGCAATCTGTGTGTATTTCTATTACACATTGTGTTGTTACGGCTTACCTTTTTTCTCTCACTAAAGAGTGAACCGTTTGGGGATAAAAGTCTCTTATTTATCTTTATAACTACAGAGGCCAACTCATCTGGTATTAACATTTAGCCAATTGCTAAGTGAACAAAATATTATTTTGTGGTTTACGGGTCTCAAGATTAATTATATCCACATGAAATACATGTATATATCAGCTCTTTCTGCTCTTCAAAAAGTGTTACTTTTTGAAGAAAGTTAATAACATGAGAAAGTTTATCATGAAAGCAAATATAATTAAAAGCAAATATAGAACACCCAGATTTTGCACATGACACAGAAGAGCTTCTTTTTATAAAGTATTTAACTTAACTGTTTAAAAGAACTTCATAATACATCTTTAATCCTGTGAGCATCAGTCTTATCTTCCAAAATGTTGGGGCAATAAGGATAAATTCCCATAGGCTTAAACAGTCACAATATTTTTAAAATCTTTCTTTCCTAAACACTTTGTTCATCACTGTTCAATGTCTGCAAGGACTTCCATACAGTACTGAATCTGTCTACTCACTGCCCTTGTGAATCCAGCAATGCCCAGACCTAGTGCACTTTGGCCTATGGTCTAGCCTTTCTCCTTTACTTCTCCTTGTAATGCTTCCAGCAACTGAGTGCTGTATTAAGTTCCATAAAGCCCATCTGTGATCACGGAATCTCAGAAAATAGTGAGACTGCGGTATCTCTAAAATTGAAGTATAATTCTGTGATTTTTTTTCCTAGAAACAAATGCAGTCATGTACAGAAATCCAGATTGTTTAAGTTCATGTCTTTCATTGCTTGTTCTACAGTCAAACCAAGAAGGCTCAAGGTAGTCATCAGCCTGCATTATACAGTAGAGCAGCAGTCCTGATACTCAGGAGTAGACTGGACTCTCTGGAGCCTTGGTTGAAAAGAATAAAAAAAAAGATTGCTAGGCTTTGAGTTTCTGATTCTTTGGCTCTGAAGTGGGACCTAAAAATTCGTATCTCTAGCCAATTCTCAAGAAGTGCTAGAACCAAAACTAGAAGGTAACCGTGCTCTTTTATACAATATTTACCAGGTAACAGCTAACAAAACTGTAGAAGGAAAATACTTATTTATTCAAATTTATCATTTTTAAAACTTATTATTAGAGTATATGTGTTTGTGTATATAAGAGGTTGATACCCTTGACACAGCATGCTTGTAAAGGTCAAAGGACAACTTCATTGAGTTGGTCCTCTCATACAATATTTGTGTTGACAGGTTTGCATGGTAAGTTCCTTTACCCTCTGAGCCATCTTACTAGTCATAAGTTACTACTTTTTAATGCTTTTAAGTAAATATTACAAATATAACAAATTGGCCATCAATTATGGTCAAATAAATAATAAAGTCCTTAAACTACGAATAACTTGAAAATAAAGAGTACAGATTTATTTTCCTCATTATATATATACTAGCAGTGATCTGAACTTTCAAAGGACATTTATTTGGTATTTTGAAACTATGAAGCTAAGGAAAAAAATAGGAATAAAATTCATTATATAAGTACATATAAACAAATAAATTACACAGCAATGCACTGATAACCTCTTGTAAATAAAGGTGTTGAATGCTGAATCAGAACATGTTGGCTGATCAGCTGAAAGGTGTGGAGAAGCAAGAACTGGGGCCTGGAACTTCATTCGAACATCCACATATAGTTCTATAGTACAAGAAAATGATAATAGGGTTTGGGAAGTAAGGTAATAGGAAATATGGACCATTTCATGAACAATGTGCTATGCCATGCTGATAAGTGGGCATTTAAACCCATGCACCAGCTACTGATTTGAAACAAATTGTCACAAAAAATCCTTAACTACTACTAATGTTATAGCTACTTAATTAAATTAATCAAATGAAAAGTGAGCAAATTTATAAACTTGAAGAAAATGAAGATAAAAACAGCTGACTTTAGTTTACCAAGCATCTCTTAAATACAGGTACCTAAGCTAGATGCGATGATGTGATGGTTCTGTCAACTGGACAGGATTTAAAATCACTATAGAAACAAATCTCTGGACATCTCTGTTAAGGACTTTCTTAGGTTAGGTTAAATGAGATGGAAAGATGCACCCTAAATTTGGGTGGAGCCATTCTATGAGCTGTGATCCCAGATTGAACAAAAGGAGGAAGGGAACAGAACACATCCAATGCTCTCTCGTGACTGTGAGCATCTTGTGACAGTTGCTCCTGCCACTGCTGCTCTATTTCCCTTGCTATGACAGACTACATGTCCTGGAACTTGAGTTGCTTTTGTCAGGTGTTTTGTTGCAGTAACAAGACAAGTACCTAAAATAAATGTAGAGCCTTGAGTAAATTTCTGAAGCAAGAGACATTTGTATTTTAAGCAAAGAGCTGCTGCTGGTACTGCACACCACAAGTTCTTTTGAACAAAATCATAAGCAACCAAACCTTGAGAAGTCAATTAAAAGTTTACTTCCAATGTCCAGAAGAAAAGAGATAGCAGAAATCCAGACAAGAGGAACAGGAATAGGATGTGAGAACAGAAATAATATTCAAGATAAAATCAAGAGTGATCAGCATTTAAATTGATTTGAAAATTGAAAAATTACCCCAGGAAAGGCAGAATAAATAGTGGTGGATAGTTTGCATTTGAAGTAGCTATTGTTAGCTAGGTGGACACCTGCCAGTGGGATACTGATCGAGTTATAAATGAGTAAAATTTCTAAGAATAAAGGGGGACAGGAACATTTCTAAGACAGAATAAAAGGATCTAATGACTTTAATCTTTCACTCAGCAACTATTTACTGGGGCTTGCCATGCTCCAGGCCCTGTTCTAATAGAGCAGTGAGTAAAAAATCCCTGCTCTTGTTAAGGAGGGAGGGGACATGACTGGCCCTCCATTCTCAAAGGATCCCTGTGACTGCTTTCTGCAGAACAGACAATACAAAAGAAGCATGGAAACAGGAAGATGGGTAGGAATAAAATAATCTCTGCTAGAAATGGCGGCTTGCACAAAGAGAGTTCAAAAGAGACATTAAAAAAGGGTCACATAGAGAACATGTTATAAAAGAAAGGTCTGAAAGAATTTGTGGATAGATGGATGGAAAGATGGGGAGCTTGAGGAAAATTAGATGAAGTAAGTATTATGGAAATGTTGCAGTTGCCTTTATTGAGACAGGGAAAATATAGAAGATTTGGAGGAGAAAAGTAGAAACTTAGTTTTGAACACACCCAAACAAAATAGACAGATAAATAAATGGATGATTGATAGATAGACAGACAGACAGACAGAGGAACAGACAGACAGACAGTCTGAAATATGAGCTCAAAGTTCAGGATAAAAATCCAGGATGGAGACAGAGATCAAGATTACAGGCTCAGAAACAAATTACTTTTGTTTGCTGAGACAAGATTTACTACAAAGCTAGCCTCAAATTCTTAATCCCCTTGACTCAGTCTCCCCAACTGTATGCCCAGATATGAGCATGAATATTTGAGGGTAAAGTAATATATGAAAATCAACTGAAAGAACTCAGGAAGGAACAGAGGTAAAGGAAGCTGTATAAATAGAAGGGAATGCTGTCACGGAAAGAGGAGCCAACCTCAAGGACCAAGTAATCAACAGAGCAAATGAATCAGAAAAATCAAACGAAGCATAAAGTCAGCAATTTCCTGAAACAAGAGTGCCATGATTTGAAGATCCCCTTCCAAAACTAATCTTGAAATTAAATGGGCACTGAAACATGTCTCATGAGCAGATTAATGTCGATATTATGGCTTACAGTGAGAATGAGCTCACTCCTCATAAAAAGATGAGTTCTGCTAGATGTTTGTTTTTATTAAAAAGATGGCTGAGTAAATGTCAACAGCCCGAAAAACACCGAAGCCATATATTTGTAAAATTTGTGGTGACAAGTACATGCGTTTTGTCCCTCAAAATAAATAAATATATATATATATATATATATATATATATATAATATATATTATGTTTCTGCTATGGGCCAGGTACCATACTTGTTTCTGAGGCAGAAGAGAGGACAAAACAAGTGCACAGCTAAAACCACAGGGCAAATATTCATGAGTGCTACGAAGAAATCCTGACTTTAAAATACAACGTCTTGGCCCCAAGTCTTCAAGGATGTAGTTCTGAAATAATGAAAAGTCAGTTATACCAAGTTCTAGAGCTAACTGTTCATGCATAGGAAAGGGATGTTCCAGAAAAGAACTTGGAAGAAATGTGGCCACAGAGACTTTGGGGAGGGGAGTGAGATACAACAAAGGCCACAGCAACGAAGACTAAGAACATCTCTGAAATGGTCTAACAACAAAAGGCAAGGCTGGGCTGGAAGCAAAGACAGGGGAACCAAGAGAGGACATTAAGCTTCATGAAGAGTCCCATCTGAATCTCCATATCACAGTGAGTTGATAGAATTCCTAGAGAAGGAATCCTTTTACTCAAACTGTGAGAAAGAACAATGAAAGTTAAATTTAGGAGTCCTAGAAGACATAAAATTATTATGTTAGAAAATGATTCATGCCTAAGTATATACTTGAGATATCTATGGTTTAAGGGAAGGCTTACTTTATCAATATCTTCCTCCTCCTCGTCGTCTTCCTCCTCTTCTGAAAAATCAAGAAGCTTCTTGGCTAACAACGGATGCCACTGAAGACACTTCCGTTTTGGTCGTTTCCCAGCCCCTTCGCCTTCTGATGAATGATCTTTATTTCTATTACTGCCTTTCATCACTGTGACCTGGGGCAGGAGTGCAAAAGATGGAGGGAATGTGAATATGAACCAAAGTCAGTTTGATTAAAATTACTTTATTTTGTCCAGTTAGCTCTCATTGGGTTATAATTTTAATTTCTAAATTATATATCAGATTAGGCACTTACTGGATTCAGTGAGAATCATAAGCACATAATCATGAATTCATTTTAATGGGCTAAATTGAGCTAAAAATTTGCCTTAATAAGTCTACTTCTTTCCACTCCATAACTTCAGAACTTAAAACCTAAATAAGCTATTAGGTGATTGCCAGTTACATTAACCTGTTCATATTTATTCAGAATAGATTCTCCCACTTTCCTAACGCAACACTGATGAAAGACAACATTTGGGGGAGCAAAGGGATTCTGAGAGGGGTCCTCTACACGTTCTGTCATGACTATTACTTTTCAAGTGAATTTTGCATTCTATACTAAGATAAATATGTACTTGCAATATTAAATAAGTGCTTTCTAAGAGTCACTTAATACTTGGTTTAGATTTAAAACAAAACTATTTCATACAATAAAATACATTTTTCAAAACCTGTGCAGTTTCCAAGCATTTGGTGCATGAACACACTGTGGGTCACATAGCAGGGTGTCACCTATCTACAATCAAATAAAACAAACACATAGGTTTTTTTTCATCTCTTTAGCATATATGCAGCCTGATTTAAAAAGGAAAAAAAATTATATCTTTACAATTTTTAAGTGTATAATTGGCTAAAATAGTTAAGAGAGAATCAGGTTATAATTGTGACACACTATCCTTTATATTCTCAATTCTCTATTATTTTTTAATGACTTGAAAAGTTATATTTAATAAAAGTATTGTAGGTTGTAACAGCATGTATGTCATTTTGGAACAAGACCAACCCTAGAACCTAAAAATTAACTAAGTACTTTCTTATATGCTCTCATTTTTTTTTTCATTTTTTTAATTTTTAAAATTTATTTATTCAAAAACAGAACTTTTTACATTCTACAGACAAATTCCGGCTCCCACTCTCTCCCACTTTTTTTTTTTTTTTTTTTTTTTTTTTTGCTCCCTCCACACTTCCCTCATTCATTCCCCTCATGGGAAGCCAACAAAGTCCAACAATTTTCAGGCAGGACAAAAGCTCTCCCCAATATATCTAGGCTGAGCAAAGCATTCCTCAAAAGATACCAGACTCCAAAAAGCCAGCAAAAGCAGTATGGATAAATCCTTGTCTCACTATCAGTCTGCTCTAGCCATACAACATATGCTCTCATTTTTTATGATTTATAATTTCTCATTTGTTTGATGTAAAATACAGATTACTATTCGTATATATTCATGTAAAACCCAGGCACTATAGTGAAATGTTATCAAACATTAAGTGGCTCGGGGACAGATGCTGACAATTATGAACAAACACACTTCCTCATCTCAGTCCATGGATATTTGAGCCAATCCAATGCACGCAGTATAAGGTCACTGAACTTAAAACACCATGTTAAAGCACACTTGGATCTATGCACATAAAGCATCAAGATCCCATCCTGTTCTCAGGTCTTGTAAATAACATAGCACAGGCAAACTCATCCATCTTCTGTATTTCTGGATTTTGAATCACACTTAGGCTTTCCTCACATTAAAGCCAAAAGTTACCCACTAGTGTTTTCTCTTAGAACTTGTATGACTTCATCTTAGACACTGAAACACTTTAATAAAAGTAGTAAAGTAAGGATCTAGTTTACTCAACTATCCTAAACAGCTAGCCAACAGTACCAGTACCATTTATCAAAGAATCTAGATTTCTCCTCACTTCCCAAGAATGACACTTTTATCCATACTAAATTTCCATTCAGACACAAGTCCATTTCGCTATTCTGTTAATCACTGCTTCTCTCTAACTTCTAACGAATCTCCTTTAACCAATGACAATAGCCTCAGGAACTACATCATTCAGCACCCTTTAACTTCTCTATTGTATTTGTGTATATGGTGGGGGAAGTGAGCGACAACTTGTAGGGGTTGGTTCTTCCTTTTACCATACAGGTTCTAGGGATCAACTCAGATCATTAGGCTTATGTGTAAGTACCTGTACCCACTGAGCCATCTCCATGGTTCCAAAGTTATATACATTATTCTATTAGATTAACATACCTTGTTCAGTCTGATAAAAATGGTGTAACAAAATATGAGTACAATGCAGTTTATTCAACCAGCTCACTGCTGATGGACAGTGAAATAAGTCTTTCATAGAAGATAGCAATAACATATGTATTTTAATAAAATAAAAATTTTCACTTTGATAAAAAAAAAAACCTTCATAAGGTATGCATCCATCTATCACTAGGCCAAAAACAAAGCAAGCTGAGGGAAGTGAGAGAACTGGGAGGGGGAAGGGAGAGAAGGAAAGAAGGAGTAGGAAAGAAAAGAGAAAGTGAAGTGGAGGGAGAGGAGGAGGAAGCAAAACAGTGTCCCTGCGGCTTTTGTAGTAAGAATTTCTGCTGAATGAAGTAATTAGATGACTCGTGGGGCGGCTTTAGGAGCACAAGAAGTTATTGAAAACTCAACTAGAACTAGTTATGTGGAATACTCTTAATAAAAAAAAATTAGGTTTCTTGTGAATTGATAGGCCATTTAACAACTCCAATTTTATCTACAAATAAAGCTTGGCACAGGAGCCCAATTTCCAAAAATACCATTGCCATACAGAAAGTAAAGGAAATGGCTGCTTCTGTGGTTTATTAATCATTCAGGATAAGCTGTCTAAGTGGTAATTAAACCCATATTTAGAACCCAATATTTTATGAGATAACATATATTTTAATAGTAAAAGAAATCAATGGGAAACTATACACTTAGGCATTTAATCAATTGGAGAAAGCAAAGTATTGTCAGTGCCTTTAGAAAAATGAATTTAGTACTTAGACCTTGTGAATTATATTATACTATTAGTTTTACATGTAATAAGCATTTATTCTACATACAAACATATGTTCCAGTATCCTTCACAGATTCTAAAATCCTAGGATGCCCAAAACTCTCATAAAATAGTACAGTATTTTACACAAGCACACTGTTTTATGTAAATCTTAAACATTCCCAAAAGCTCAATGTTGTGAAGGTCTGATCCCTAGCTGATGGTACCATGGGGAGATGGAACTTTACAGGCTGGTAGAAAAAGATAATCATTGAAAGAATGCTCTTGAAGGGGATGTTGGGACCCTACCCCTTCATCTTTCTTTGCTTCCTGACTGCAGTGGGATGAGCAGTGTCTTCTGCCCCCTACACTGTGTACTGTACCACCACTACAGGCACAAAGTAATGAGGTCAGCCTGAATAAGAACAAATGATCTTTCCATCTTTTAACTTGATCTTATTTTGCCAGTGACATAAAGCTGAGTAACATACAGAAGTATCTTTCCCTATCTTTCAGTCATCTCTAGATTATTTATAATGTCTAGTACAATGTAAATATTGTGTGAACCGTTGCTCTATCATACATTTTGGGGATTAATGACAAGGAGAAGCCTGTACAAGATAAGCATAGACGTGAATTTTGTTTTTTTTTCCTTGAATATTTATGAAGCTGGTTGAATCAAATAGAGGGTCTATTATATATCTGTGCATATATAAGCCAATATTTATGAATAAAATAGAATATCAAGAATCAAATTAATGACTAGTATATGTAGTTTAAAGTTCACCTTCATTCTCATCCTGCATTACCTGTTCTCACTCTTTTTATACAACACTCATATGACTTTGGCTACTGTACCTTTTTTAAAAAGATTTGTTAAATTTTATGTATATGAATGACTGTTCCATTGGCATGTATGGCTTTATGCCATAGGAGGGCATCGGATCCCACTATAAATGGTTGTGAGTCACCATGTGGTTGCTGAGAATTAAACCCAAGACCTCTGGAAGAGTAACCAGTGCTGAACCACTGAACCATCTCTCCAGTCCCCACTGTACCTCTTTTGATAACTTCAAAAATAACTATCTTTATATAGAAATACACATAATGAATTTATATTGGCCATTTCGCCATATTTTTCTGTGAATTATATTAATTTAAATAACCCTTCTCTACTGTCGAGTCTTTTCATAATGTTTCAGGACACTGTAATCTGTTTGTCTGTCTCCTGTCATACAAAGGACTGAAATTAGTTAGGTGTAAGCATCAGTATATACAAACCCCAGTACTTAACTGTGGCAATGATCCACTGTTTTTATATACTATGGTGACTTCACAATAACCACCACCTCTTCTATTTCTCTGAATTCTGATATCCTTCTTCTGAGTGAGAAAGGGGAATGAAAACTGTCCAGCTCTGACACACTGACCAAGGTGGCCTGTGGTGGGTGAAAACCAACAGCCACCTGGAGCGGAGGAAAATAGGGCCAGCAACCCCAGCACAGTGTCAGAAACAAAGCAGGACATTTAATTTCAACACTCATGAGAGATGAAAATAAGAAAAAGTGAATTTCAGGTAGTACATCTCAGATGGAAGCATCAGGAAAGTGTCATCTAAAGGTGTAAAACACCTCCAACTGTGAACTGGACACTTCAATAATTTACAGTTATAATAACTATCTAATAAAACAAGCTAGATTTTAATTTCCTATCAGTCTATTTTCAAAACACAAAAAGAAGGTAAAGCCATAGGGGATAATGATGATCTTGATTGTAATTCTCTAAAGCAGTAAGAAATAAAGAGAAGAATCAAAAGAAGTAGGAAAGACAAAGGCAAAGAAGACATAAGTCTGAGATGCTACCACTGATCTTCAACATGAAGGTGGAAATTTTATTAATTGACAGTGAGAGAATAGCAATTTTATCTGTCTGTCTGTCTGTCTGTCTGTCTGGCTGGCTGGCTGGCTGCTGTTTCTCAAATAAGAACAAATTCAGCTGGCAGTCTATATGGAATAAATGAAGCGACTGAAAAATTTCTTCAAGCAAGGGTTATTCTATCCTCTATGACTGTAAGACAATCAATGACAGATTA